AAAACAAAGTTATATATACATACATATATATATATATCCTACTTTTCAATTAAAGTAAGACTAATAATGTAAGATATCACAGATTTTCCATGCAGATAGCTAAAATGAAATTAATAATAAGAATCGGTTGACTCTTTTGTTGTTTTATGATAATTGAGATGGCGGTCTGGAATCTCGTCACCGGTGTGTTCACAAAAGTATATATTACTTCCACTAATACAGTTTCTATCCGACGGTAATTCAGATTATAGATGGGTCCTACGTAATTACAGTTATGATTCAGAGGAAAACCAAACCTATTTTAAACTTTGAAGTCTTTCTCTGATTCGAACCGCATTAGTTATTGTCCATACGGATATTTTGTCTTTCATTCTGTCAAGTAGATTAGTTAGCCACGTCACGCAAATGTTTCGTCCTAGTTGTCACAAGTAGACCCCAACCACTCTCTCTTGTTCTCCAATATTGGGTAACTAAGTTTTCAATTCACTATCTAAAAAGATAAATATGAGTGTGTTTTTTTTTGCTTAAATATGACAAGTATGTATAAACGAAGAAGATAAATGTATAAACGGACGGCCCCAAGTGTCTATATTTCAATTTCAACGTGAACAATATGTACTTTTTGTTATTTTGTGACGTCGAATATTTCGATGTCATAGTCAGTCACCAATTCTTGTAGTATATAATGAATGCATTACGATGTTTATCTACAGAACTCAAAAAGTTACAAAACAGTTAAAGAAAATGATAGTTGCGTAACTAACTCGTAGTAACTAACTCGACCACGAACTAAGGAGTATATTTAAATTTATGTGTAAAGACAATAAACTTTAGAATCGGGCTCCCTTTTTCCAATATTTATACAGACCTATATACATAAATATATACAGTTGAATTTTGTAAAAATCACATTTAGTTATTCACCGTATTTTGTGAAAGAAACACTCTCGAAAACACTCTTCAACGATAATGTGATTCTCTAATGTTGAAACTGATTAAATGATTGTTCTTCGTTATATGTGAGTCTTAAAAATAAGTTTATGGCCGTAATTGCCAACAGAAGAGAGAGATAAGAGATGGTACCAAAAGGAGGAGGAGGCGTTGGTGATTGCGTAATTGTCTTGGCTCCCTCGTTGATGATTATTACAATTATTGTGAATGGAGAGAGAGCGAGAGTAAGCTTGTGTACAAAGAAAGATAAGTGAAAAACTAAGTAAAAGTGAGAGAAGCTCACCAAGTGAAACAGAGAGGAAGCTTGGCTGTGAGAGTGAAGGCCAAACCGATAGTTTAACAGTGTGGTGAAGTCGTAAGGTTTTAGGAATGGTTTTGAAGCTTGTGTGTGCCGGTAATCCATCATACTCTTGGAGTTGACCGGACGTGGATAAGATAAGAAGAACTGTTTTTATTTTTTGGACAACAGATAAGAAGAACAAGAAGCAATAATGGTTCCGTTGTTTAAGACAAAGAGAGAGAGGTATAAACTTTACTTTTGTCCTAACTAGGGCTGGGCAAAAAACTCGGATCCGAAGAACCGAACCGAACCCGATCCGAAAAAGTAGTATCGAATTCAATATCCGAATGGATTCAAAATTTTGGTATCTAAAGAACCGAAACCGAACCCGACCCGAACCGAAATATTTCGGGTACCCGAATATATCCGAAAGAGATTTATATACCTATATATATTAATTATTTTAGATTTAATATATATAAAAACATTCAGTATATATATAAAATACTTTGAAGTTATTCAAAATAGTTGTAAATATATGTAAATAGTCAAACATACATGTGTAAAATTGTTAAAGTACACTCAAAACAACAAAAATACTTAAAAAAATTATTGATTCACAATCCAAATATTCAAATCAAACTAATTTATATGTTAATTTTAGATATTTTGACTTATGTTATTCAATTATTTGTAATATATTATTTTGTTTATAAATTTTTTTAAATTTAAAGTATATAATCAATTTTAAAAATTTTAAAAAGAATTTAAATGGGTTATCCGAACCCGAACCGAACTCGCAAAGATCCGAACCGAACCCGAACCGAAATTTAGAAATATCCGAATGGGGTTAATATTTGTGAACCCGAAAATCCAAAATCCGAATAGATACAAACCGAACCTGAATGGATACCCGAACGCCCACGACTAGTCCTAACGGTTATATTTCGATCGCCAACACGCGTGCGTTTTGTCCTAACGGCTAATTATATTTCAAATTTTGTACCAATTATTTTGAAATCGAACCGAACCGGTCTTGCATTTTAAGAAAATCACTTAAACCGAACCGGTCCATTTTTAACCACGACGCCTTAACTTTCAATCTAAAACAAATATATATATGTTAATAACTCTGTTTCTTCAATTTAACGAAACCTCAATCTCTGTAATTTTACAAACCAAAGAAAGTGATATGAGAAAAAAATATTACATTACAACAACTGGTTCTGAGTTTTGTGAGGAAAACAATACATAGAGTCACGTGGTGGTTACATTATACTATTAGTAGAACATGATTATGAATATCGACTTCTTCCAACGATCTTTGATAGACTCTGCTTAATCAGTAGCCAATGTTCGATCGCTTATGGCTATGCATATGCTAAAACATAGACACCATTACATTGCAGCAGCAGAGTCAGCTCCATCGTTGTTAACACTCGGTATGATCACTTGACTTCAGGGGACACTTTTTGCACAAACTCTATCAGCTCTGTGAAGCTGCTATGCTCACTGTAACGAACCTCGTACGTACCTGAAAAACATACACAAAGATTTTCAGCTCAATGCAGAGAGACTTGAAGATGACGAATTATTCAATTTACCTTATTATTGTACCCTTTCTTTTCCTGGAGACTTCTTCTTGGTCTTACCAGATGTCCAGCCAGTTGGAGACAATGCAACGATAAGGCTGTGTGTTAGGTACTTGAAGCTTACTTAAGTATCTGACTCGTCAAGACACTTATTGCTGTGAACTTGCCTCTGCTCCTCACTCTTACCTGAGATATCTCCATTCAAAACACAGTGGACACTGAATCCCATCATCTTTGCCTATATTACACTCTCCTTACTGTTACCCTCAGAGCAAAGCTTTATCAACACGTCAAGCTCGTTTTTAAAACTAAAATTGTTAATGTTTCCATTTTCTTTGAACTTAAATAAGTCTTTTGATTAATTACTGGGTGATTACATTTCACAAACTCGTTTCTAAATAAAAATATATATAAATTAAAATGCAGAGAATTGAGGATATATTTGAACTGACCAAGTTCAATGGTTAATGAGGTGATCATGCTTTTTTCTTTTCAAAACAAAGCTAAAGCGTAGTCTCTAGTCAATCCAGTATTGTCCTGTACTTCGAGTAAGGAAGAGGTAATCCGTATCCCGAGGATTAAAAAACTATACGCACCTTTGCATGTTTTAGTTGCCTATAAATTTTTAAACCTCAGGATGCAGATTACCAGTTCCTCACCAAATATCTAATCTTTATCTTCTTCTCTGTGTTGCTCTACTTTTTTTTCTGTTATTCTATATGGTAGTGTGAGTTGTTTTGTTGTTGCTAACGGTGAGAATATATAGAGCTAGTGGCACTAATAAATAACAATGGTGCAAAAGAATAATACTTATGCCAAAGGTTTAATGCTTCTGGAACTAAATGCTCATACAAAAAGACTATATTTTCTTGTCCATGGTTTCTTATATATTTCCCCTATAAATATATTTATCTTGAGTTCACCCCATATCCATAGACTAAAATAAAAAATTAAGTGTATTATGTACGACACGTTAAGCGTACATTGTGATTTATAAAATGTACTATTTCAGAGACCACAACTGCATTTTAAGAAAGATTATCGAAACCACAACACGTACGCTTAACGTGTCTAACTTATTTGAAGATCATTTTAATGTACAATATTTCTGCTGAAATTTTCAAGAATAAATCGAATTATAGCATGTATAATTTATTCGATTTATAAAGTTTGTGGATAGTAGTGTTTTTTCGCAAGCACATATAAGAACTGGATTGTGAGAGATCAAATCATGAGAAATTGGTCTTTGTTCTTTTTGAGCCAATGATGGCACTTGTTTTTTTTTCTTTTTGCTTTTTAATATACAATTAGTCTCTGAAATTTCCTTTGACTGCTTTTATTTCCTTCTCTCGGTTCATCACAGATCACATGAATCGATTCTCTTCTCAATTATTGAATTTCATATATTTGAAGAGACAGTTCGCTAATATATGTTCACATTTGTAGAAACATTTAGCTCAGTTAGTTCCATTAATTCTGAGTAATCCACGTGCAAATGTTTCTTTCTTAACTACACTGTCTCATTTTCAGAGCATGCAACTATGATGAACACGATGAGCCGTAATTTACCATAACATTTCTTTTTAAAATAACAATCTATTGGATTGATAAGCATCTTATTTTAAATTTGATTTTTTTTTGATAAATTACATGCTCAGATCGCAACTATATGAATCAGATGATATTCATAAGTTGATAAAATAATTTGTGAGTATATATAAAAAACATAAGAAAAATGTATCAAATTTGATTTCATATTCGTACATATCAGGAAATAAACAAACAGCATGGGTGTATTAATTTTACAGAAAAAGGTGTAATAAAAAGGCTGAGAAATGAGTAGGAGAATAAATTCTGTTAGAAAAGACATTTTTAATAAGAGGGAAAGGTTATATATCTTTCATTGTTTTCCAAAGATTACTCTTTTCCAAAAGCAAATGCAAATTTAATTTGAAGCAACAAAATCAGCTTTTGCTCTCTTGGGCTCTTCAAAAGCCTGAAAAGGGTAACCATTATTGGATGGGATACAAACCGAATTGAACCATACATTAGCTAAAGAGTTGCATAATTTGATTACTCTGAAAGTTAGGGTTTCAAAAGAGAGAGTTCAGTTAGTCACCAGACTATTATTCCCTTTTCTTTTCGTCAAACTTACCAGATTCTTCATCGCATAAACATTTCTATGGAATTCGGTTTCATTTCTATTATAGATTCGTCAAAAGAAGAAATTTTAAAAGCATTCTAATATACACATCACATGCATTACCATTTTCCATATCTCAAAGACATTGTCAAACGTCGAACATATTTTTTTCCTTCCCACACAAATGAAATGATATCATCCTACGAAGTCATGTAGAAACTGATGATTACTACCGCCAATAAAATCTCTCCCAAATTGACGATCATGCCCTTCATACCCACCACCACCACCGGCGCCACTACTGCCACCGTCAAGTCCAAACCTCTGAGCAGTTGTCATTGGGAAAGGCTCCGGCAACCCAATCTGATGATGAAGCCCTAACGTCAACGACACTCCTCCATTTGTGCTAGTATTCATCCCCAGGACATTCGATGACGCAATACCGTAGGAGAAGCTAACCGCGCCGCCCCCTCCACCGTTTCCAGCGTTCATAAAGTGACTGTCATTGTTGTTGGTGGTGGCATGAACGGCATCGCTTCGCACCCGTCTAACGGGAGAAGAGTTGTTGTTAGCTATTTGTTGAGCCGTGGAGGAAGAAGGGTTGTTGTTGTTATCGGGGAAGGCAGTGTTGGTGCTACGTTCGTCTCTCCAAGAAGAAGAAGAAGATTTCTGAGATTGTCGAGTCTCCAGCATATGAATCTCTTCCACCATCGGTTTCCAAACCCTAACTCGTGCGTTTATGAACCAGTTCGATACCTGGTAATCATAATGAATACTCCTATAAAATTCCTATATAGTCATTATATCAATAACCTAAAAAGTCATGTAAATAAAATAAATAAAAAATAACCTAAGGAGCATGATACACCACACGATTAATGTCTACATATGTTTTACCGCATGGTTTAATTGAACTTTAGAAATTTAATAATTATTCTGTTTTAACAGTGTCGTTCTAGAATTTTTTTGTTGTCTGAAATTTTTGAAAAAGTATATAATGTAATATTTAGTAAAAAACTAATAAAAATGAATTGCCCGTGGCAGAAAAAAAAAAATCTCATTGAGCTTATTATATTTTTTGGGGGACAGAATAAGCTAGTTATACATATGCTTTTAAAATGAAAACAAGACTGAGATATCAGAAGTGAAAACCTGATTCCTGGAGAGACCTGTCTGTTTAGCCAACATCAGTTTGTCTGTATCAGTTGGATAACTGCAATAGAAGACACACAACTATAATTCATAAAATATTTTTAAATTTACACATAATTACAAAACGACATAACCATGTTTGAGAAACAAACAAGCATTCGAGATGTCCCATCTAGAGCATACTTCCAAGTTACAATACACTTTTATACAAACATACACATGCACCTATAGCTATCTGTTCACAAGTATATGCATAATGTGGTTCATGTCTTCCTGGAACATGAATATCATATCAAGTTATGATGTAGACATATAATTATACGGATATTGGACTTTTCTTAGGTCATGTTACAAGTGTAACATCAGTGAATTGATTGATGGTCTGATCAAATTGACATGGTTAAAGCGTAGTATAATTAGAGCTAAGCTCAAACTCAAATCAACTGCTCTAAAACACAAATATATGGCTAAAAAGGGTTTACTTACGGATGCAAGAAATGATCGAAGAGCCAAGCCCTTAGAACAGTGACAGCGCGTTCGGGTAGGCCACGGTGTGGTCTCCATACATGAGCATGGTGATCAGGGAATCCATGTCTTTTACCAGCAGAACGCAGGCCCCTACTACTATCACTTCCTCCAAACCCCAAAGAGTCGGTCTTATTCTCAGAGTTCATCACATGACCACGTTGTTGTTGTTGTATCTTGCTATTGGTGCTAAACTGAAGCTGGTCTGTTATAGCATTCTTCAAACATTTGAAATGCTTAGTCAATACCTTTAATGTTAAACTCGCATAAGGAGCTGCGTGCCCGAGACCTGCAACGCATTCGAATGACCCCATCACAGCTTGAAGCTGCTCATAGTACTGCTTATACCTCTTGTAAACCTTGAAAAGGTCACATGGAAATGATTTTTAGATTTGAACCAAATTATGTAATAACCATGTGAAAATTATATACTCCAATGGCTCATGCATTAATTCCTCACTCAAAAAGTATGCTATATAGTTTGTCAAAAAAGTATGCTATATACCACAGAATAAACTGGTTAAAATCTTAGTCCCTAGCTCTAAGATCAAATATCAATATTGTGCATATATTCCCTTTCATAAAGAAGAAGTTCTCTTTTTAACACTTTAAGTTTATATCCTTAAGATATGAAGAATCCAAATCACAAATTTAAATCAAAAGCCAGGGAAGCTCAATATAAAGTTACCTCCCACGATAAATAATAATAATTATTATTTAGTATAACCTTAAAATCCTATCAAAAAATGAATAAATCATCTTTTAACTTGGAATTATTAACATCCTCTATTCATGCAACGTAGGGATCGTTCAATTAAAATAACACTTCCTCTTATAAAGATTGAAATACAATATTTAAACGATATAAAATGGCTTTGGAGGAGTTTCATTTTCCAAGGAAGATCTTTTTAAGAAACATATCATTTATCACATTTTGTCACCAATGTAAAAGGACACCGACCAAAAACTGTGAACATTTAACACAACAATACACATACATATTAGAAAACTTAAGACAAATAGATTTAAAATGATTTTCTAGAAGATAACATAAAAATTATAATTAACTATACCTCGTCAAGCAAGGAAATGAGTTTTGATTTTCTCTTGCCATCTTCTCCTACGCCGCAGATATTATCAACCGTTGGGTCAAAAAGCAAAGAGGAATCTTCGTCGTCGTCGTCGTCGATGATTTGTTCGGTGTAAATCGCACTACAAAAATCATCAAGAAGCATCTGAGCTGGTTTCAAGAATCTTGATCCTTTCAGAACCGATGCGTAGCCAGTGAACGGCCCGAGAGGACCAGAGCTTCTGGACGCGACGGTGACGGCGGCAGCAGAGGCTTCAGCGGCGGATCTATAGAATCCGGAGTTAACAACGCCGGGAACGACGAGATCGTAAGTAGGTCTAGGGTGAGATGACAAAGAGAGAGATAGAGGCTCGGGTCTGAAGACAAGAACGTCGCCAGAAGAAAGTCCGGCGTTGAAGGAATGATCTCCAGCGACGGCGACGGCGGTGGATGAAGAGGAAGATGGCCCACCGAGAAATCCCATGAAGTTACTGTAACTAGGGTTATTGGTATTGTTTGAATGAAATCCACCGGCAGCGAGGAAATCAGAGTCGGCGGTAGGAAACACGCCGCCGCCGCCGCCGGAAGAAGAAGGAGGAGGAGGAGGATGGTGAAAGTGGAAGTGGGAGTCGAGAGAAGGAATCCGAAGTTTATCGCGTCGGCTATGTTGGAGAACATGGTAAGGCTCGTATGAATCGGACATGACAAAGGATGATTGCAAGATGCAGGAGGAGAGAGAGAGAAGAGAGTAACAGTGTAAGAGATAATGGTGTGACGGGTGAAACGAGAGGTTAAGAGAGAGAGGCTTCTTTTTGAAGCACGATCAAGTGTGTATATTATCCATCATAGTACTATTATTCTAAAATATCTATATATGCTTTCATAGACCTGTAATGTCTGTTTAGTGCGGAAGAATTTACTGAGCATTAGGTCAAGACTTCATTATTTGGTCAGTTGTTACCAGCTATAGTTAAAGCTTAATCCATATAGTGATCAAGTTTCTCGGTTACATGATCCCGTGTAGTAGACTAGTTACTAAAGACTCGTGTATGCAAGCGTGTATACCTCGTGTTAACTTTTGTGGTTATGGGAATTTTTGCGAGGAGCTTTTATTTTCCAAATAAAGCCAATTTTAATAAGACACCAAAATATTAAATTGAGTGTAATTTAATCTCCAATAAAACAATAAAATTTTCACTTTTTTACTAAGTTTTTGTTATGCAAATAAAGTCAATTTTAATGGAAATCGACCATCAAATTTGATATAATACTATTCATCACAACAAATATTAAAATAATATATTTTATTATTTTTTATTTAATTACATAGATTAATTGTATTGATTAGTTTTAATTAATAGTTAAAAATATATATCATATTATTATGTATGTTTTATTTATATTTTCACATTACAAAAATGTTATTTTGTTTTGTATTTATATTTTTAATTAATAATATAATTAAATAAATAAATTGTAACAAAAAAAGATGATGTTCATTTTAAATGTATAAATTAATTTTGGACAATATGTTTATAGAATAAATAATTAAATATACAAATTAACTAGAAGAAAAAAACATATATATATTTTTGTTTTGTCAGTCATTCATCTAAACTAATGGTTAGACGAACTGATTCTCCAAATAGCATCTCTATTTTGATGAATCTAATATATATGAAAAAGGCATAGCTTCTGGTCCTTATTTCTTTTTGCCAACGTGTTCGTTCGACCATTCCTACTCCGAAAAATATGAGATAGGATCATATTCTCTAAATCTTCATGTAATCTGAGGAACCCCTTCAATCTTTGTTGTGAGAGTCGGCTAATCCTTCGGATTTATAGTCATGTTCTTTAGATCCTAACAGCCTGAGCAGTCTGTCTAGAGTAAACATTTCATCTTATCATGTTAAACTGAAAGGATCCTTCTGTATGTTTGTAATTCGAAAACTTTGAAACTCATTTGATCTTTAGGATTCTATCCTAAACATTGACACTGCTATTATCGATCTATAACACATTAATTTAGTAGATAAAGATTTGGGATATCTAAGGGTATATTGTCTTAACCTCTCTAAAAGAGAGAATGTCACGATCCTCGTTTGTTTTTTTCTTTTTATTAGTTTTTCTCCAATATTTTAATCTAAGAGACGCGTGTTGCATAGTTTTAATCAGAAAAAGTATAAATAAATATAAAGATAGACTGATTAAATTTTAATAAATAAATATAGTTTTAGTGTAGAATTTAGTGTGATAATTGTTGATAAAAAAGTAAAATTTGACATTATCAAATTTTATGTATTCTTAACATTAAATTTGGAAATGACATAAGCAAGGTACATATAATTAGAGAATTGTATGAATGATTTGAAGTTATAAACTGAAATGAAAAGTCCCGGGTTTGGTGGGAGAGCTTGTATATGGGAAATCTAGAGAAGGTGACCGGCTGTAATCGGTAGTTTGATTTTTATTGTACCAACTGTTCAGTCTGTTCTGTGTCTCAGTCTTTCACATACTTACTGACATTTCTACTACTTTTTTAAGTCTTTTTTGTTGTCGCTTATCTTCTTTTCTTTTTGCTGGAATAAATACTTATTTACACTGTAAAGTTCTATGATCATTCTACTATCAATTCTTTTAAAAAATGTCATCAGGGAATATCACTATATCAGTTATTAATACGTGTTTTTAAGCTACTTGGTGCGAATTATAAAAAAACTCGTTCATTATATTTTAGGTGTACCTCATCGGATAACTTTTACTTTTTTTTTCACAGCTGATAACTTTGCAGAAACTATATACTAAGATCTGCCAATATGATTAAAACGGAAAAGTAATTTAACTGTATAGTAATGATAATGTTTGAAATAATCATTAGGGGAATTTTGTTTATGCATGGGAAATAATGAGACGTAAATGTGACCCTGCTTTCGAACGAAACCAAATGTGTTGTTGCCTGTTACATTTATTTATAATAAAAGCATTTCCTCTTTTGGCTAAGATGGACCACAAAACTGAAAAGAACCAAACCACCCCAATAATCACAGTAAATTAAAGTGCACTTAATTATTAGTTCTTCTCTACGTCTTTATACATTACATCACGGGTTTACTCACATATGAAGATTTCAAAGCAAGCTTTCTTTTCAATAATTGTTGCTGAAATCAAATTATCGAAAAAATTTCTTAATAAAATGTATTAATAGCCTCTTTACAGTTTCAATGGGTACTTTGATTGTAGCATATCCATAAGCAATCTCTAGTAATCTAATAACATTTTAACCTCTTTTGTATGAAGGTTTGAAAAATTAAAAATACTATTGTGAGAAACATTAATGGATTCGTTGGTAATGGTCATAATTATATAACATCCGAACCACAAGAACTATTGAAACTTAACTTATGATCATCTTTTGGACAAAGCTCTTTATATACTGTATATTTTGCTGAGGACCCACCAGCGCACTTCATCCCACTACAGTCAGTAAAGGAATCTGTCGCCTGAAAACACAGATGAATGCGCAAACCCTTGTTTAAATAAAACACATTTGATTTGATAAAAAAAAAACACATATGATGCGTAAAAATGTTCACAATCTATAAAATGTAGACAATAAAAATCGTGGATAAAATAAACATATTATAGCACGTATAAATAATTCGGGAGTAGATGGGAAAAGAGTAGATTTTAATTCTAAAGACGTACGGAGTTTTGTGAAGAACGAGAAATGCCGTAACCTCAAGGTCCTCAACTGACGGCATTGTGGTGGATTCTCGCTAAGCAAAAGATTTGCGCAGAGAAAATCAAACGTAATGTAACTTTAAAATTTTATTTATAGAAAGAGAAAAACCCTAGACGACGTTAGCATGACGCGTCACCTGAGAATCCCAATGGATATTTATCCGAACTTGAGTACTTTGCAGTTGTATGTATACTTTTAAGGGAATACTTTTAATTAACTCCTACTAAATTTTGTTCGGCTCTTTAGATTCACAGAGAAATTCTCATTCGCCATATGTATTCGATAATTAAGTCATCCATGAAAAAACAAAATTTATTTTATTTTAGGCTATTGTTGTATTGCTGCGCTGCTACTAAATATTACGAGTTGACTGATTTCACATTTTCAGTAATAATAAATAAAAAGTAGAATTTTGAAAATAGAAATCGTATGTCCTGGTACCAATTCCATATTTTGGTACATGGAAAATAAATCCAACTCACTTCTGAAAGTAAAAATCACATCAATCATTCCATAGTTTTTTTCCTTAATTTAATATATAATATATAAATATAATTATAGCTGGTAAATGAAATTAGGTAGACGCTTTAAATTAGATTAATAAATGGGTCATATCATAAAAATGACAAATCCTCATCACATGTCGACGACTATATTATGTTATGTTCCATCAAATCCAACTTAGTATCTATCTGAAAACCTAAATGAATTTTATCGTTTAAACACTTTTGAAAATGTTTACACTTACAACATCTTAATCCGAACCGATAATAAATACTAATTTGGATAAATTTAGACATGAAACATTCCCCCCTGCGTGTGGTTGATTAGGCTTAAAATTTTGAGATTATTTGCTCCCACACCCTTTTTGGGGTCGATATTAGAGAAATGCCCTTGATGGGACTGATCTCTTTTTTATGACTAAATTGCCCTTTCTCTCTCTTTCATGCATGTGGGTTTGTCAGATTTTTTTTTCTTTTTCGTTAGAAACACTCTCTCTCTTTCTCTCATTCTTTCTTCAATTATATTTGTTCTCTTCTCTTCTCTTTTTCTTTCTTTTCTCTCTGTAATTTAATTGAATGTTGAAAGAAAATTTGTTATTTTTTTTAATCTACTTTGATTTTTAAAAAAGAAAGTTAAAAATCTATCAGTCTGTTAACACCTCCGATACGTATATTTGTTAACAACTAACACTTCTGTTAACATCGGGAACATGTTTTTGTTAACATCTAAAATATCTGTTAACATCTACATTATTTATTAACAGCTAACATCTACGTTACCATCTTTGGTACATCTATTTGTTAACATCTAATATATTTGTTAACATCTACAATATTTATTAATAGCTAATAATTCGGGTACATATATTCGTTAACATCTAACACTTCTGTTAACAAATATTGTAGATGTTAACTATCGATAATAGTGATTATTTCCGGCGATTTTAAAGAGATGTCAATAAATTTAATTTTATTATGGGGTGCTTTATTTAGTATGTCAATTGATTTTTAACGTAAGAAAAAAATATCTAAAAAAAAAAATGTGAAAATAAAGAAACTATAATAAAAGATAAAGAGAGAAATTGAAAGAGAGAGAATGTTGCTTCAAAAGAAAGAGACATTGTCATAAGGTTATCAGTGTCCAACCAAGGTGAAATTGTATAAAACTTTACAATTATGTCAACTCATATATAAATCACTAATATAAGGTCCAAATATGGGTATTTCCCTAAATCTCTCTAAAATTATTAAAGTTATTTGGTTTTATTGTTTTAACAACATTTTTGGACGGACCAGGAATTCAATTTTGTGTTTAAAATACATAGAAGAAGATAAGTCATGTCATAAATTTTCTTTGATAAGATGCTATATTTTTCTTATTTAATCCTAGCTAAAATAAACGGCTTTAATGTTTTGGGGGATTTTTTTTAGAAGAGGATTACAGAATGGGCCCGTGGGGTAGTAGTACAGAGGTCACTGTAATGACGTCACCTGTTAGGTTGCGTGACTCCTGGGCGCTGTATCTGTTGTAGTACGCTATCTTTCATACTCTTTTTTTTTTATCTCACTTCATAAATGATTACAGTCCCATCTTTAGACTGGTTATGCTATTTTACAACAAGCAGTCCAATATTACTACTGTTGTTTTATTCTGAATTAAAAGAAAATTTATGCTACAACGAATAATGGATTATGCTCAATTTTTGCAATTGTTTATATAGTGTTAACAAGATTAACAATATAGCGCCAGTGGTCTCTTGGTAGAATAGTACTCTGCTACGGTACAGATCCGGTTTGATTCCCTGCTGGTGCAACAATTTTATTTTTTTCATAAATTCATTTTCGTATTCAGTCATTAGGCCAAAGTAAAATGGTACAACTACATATTTGTTTATTCGCATTAATAAACCGAGAGCGAGCCCATTTTACGTTTTGAGCTATTAGGCCAAAAGTTAGGAACCCGTTTTAATTTTGAGCTATATGGACTTGTTAGCTATATGGACTTTATTGTTAGATATAGTATTATACTGCATTGACATGTGGAATGACTTAAAGTTAAATGTATGTCTTGAAGTATACGAATAATTTGAATGAACTTTTGATTCTGTGGATCTCTGACTCGGAAGCTTTTAATTTCTCCGAGATGAAATCCACGTGCTTGTAAATACAATAAGTTGGTAAGAACACATACCAGTGCCATTTATTCATTAAATAAGAAAAGAAACAAATACCAATGTCATTTACGGTCTAACTTTAAGATTCTCGTGTATACCGTGGGAGATTAATATACAGAATATATGATATCATATGTGAACCAATCCACTAAATTTTAATAAAATACTATATTATTTTAACCGATATTTAGACTATAAAATCATAGACATGGAAGGAAGCATAACACAAGAAAACAGTATTTTCCCTCTTTGAAGATCAACAAAGTGATTATGGCGATATCTCACGTCCAGCCTATGCTTCTTCTCCTCGGATCACTCTTCTTCTTGCCTTCACTACGTGCGGTCAATTTTGAATACTGCAACAGTAAGTATCAAGTTGCTAGCTAGTCTCTTTTTTCCTGTATGTTTGCTTTATGTATGTATGTGCTAGTATATAACAATATATAGAACAAATTTTCTTTTTATTTGATAAATCAATCAATAATACACATATATAGGCCTCTGATTTATAGACTGATTACCCCAATCTCTGATTTTTTTTTTCATTTTTTAAAAATTATAAACGTTTAAATCTTGGACCACAGATCAATAGGACGATACGTATCTCTTCTTCTTCTTATTTTTTTTTATATGGAAACGTCGCTTTTGGATTCACAAAGAAATTAAACTTTAATTAAAATTAAACAAGCAGTGAATGTTATCGTAAGTATACCATGTATCTTAGTAGTTATAACAAATGCTAGTGCTTGAGTGGTTAGAGTTAGGATTTATTGTTTATTTGTTAGTGTATACTCCGTTTGTTGACATATCAATTCAATGAATTAAATGTGGGGGTGTTTCGACCAAAAAAAAAATGTGCGGTATGTAAGAAAGTTGTGTCGATACAAATATTCTACACGTCCATGACTCATCGTATAACTTCCTCAACTAACCTCCAAGGCTTTTGTAGAAAGTGGATATGATTTCGGAAATGTCACTCATGTCGAGATCTCCCCAAACCCTGTTGGGCCTGATGACGGCGAGCTAAGCGTTACGGTTTTCGGTTATGCAAGTACGTAATATTTGTATATGATCTTATATGATCCTATACTCCATATGTCTCAGCCATCTCTTTTCTTGGTTTTAGTTTTCTAATATTTTCTTGATACTAATATTTGTTGTCTGCAGAAGAGAGCATCCATGCTGGATCTATAGAGGTGTACGCTAAATCTGAGAATATTACTGATCTTCTAAGACAATACAACCTCTGTGTGGTGGGTGAGGTATGCGCTATTGAATCAGGCACCAAATTTGTGTTACCTCTTTCCCAAATTCCTAAGGATATACTCGAGGTAATTATCCCTACAAACACCCTTTGCTTGAAATCAGCGTTTATATGTTTGTGATTGTTCTTTAACTCTAAGCCTACATCAACCCCCAAGAGACATTGGTTATTTTTGCCATTAAAAGTATACACTTGGTTTGCCTCTTTGACGGCCTTATTTTTTTTTCTATAAATGTGTGAAGGGTGACTACAAGTATGTCGTATCTTTGCTTGATGAAAAATTTGGAGACTCTAAAGAGGCAGCAGTGAGAATGTGCGTCGACTTCGATCTACCAACTTCCTCTTCCACAATGGCCTCTGCTTAGTCAAGTTGGTTGGGTGAAAGATATATGTTTTCAAGTCTATCTCTCCTACTTGCATTTTTCGGTTTTAATCTGTTGTAACTTGGTTTGGTTTCTTTGAACCGTGATGTCATTGACTTTCCGTTTAGGAAGTAGAAATAAATGTGACAACTTTTGGAAGAGACGGCTGATTATATTGTTGTAACCTGAAAAAATCATAATAAATGAAACTAATGTTATAAATTTGATCAGATATCTAAAAATCCTTGTTAGAAAACACACATTTACAGTCTCTTGGTTAGCAGTACCAATGTAAATATAATTCTTTTTGATTAAAATGCATTTATAAATTCAAAAGAATCATGAATGAAATAATTTTTGTCTAATCAATCTTTCACTTTGTCTATATCAATGCAATACTAATATTTTCAAATCCTATTGATCATCATTTCAAAAATCTTATGACATTTTCTTTTATGTTGCACAAAAAGATAGTTTTGTTGTTTTCAAACAAAAACGTCTTTATTCCAAACTAAAATTAGATTTTTTACGTTATTACATAACACAACGTATAATAAAACCTAGTGAAACACCACAGAAAATTTAAAAATAAAATTTCAGTTAAAATTATTGATACGATCCAAATACAATCAGTTACATGTTATATATGTGATATTGAAATTTCATGAATAATGATTCTACGATGAATTTTTTTTTTCTAAAAAACTTGGATCGGCAAATGATTATGCATGTATGACATCTTTGATCGATAAACTTTATCCATAGCAGACGACTATAAAGACCGCTCTGCCTGAAGTACTCTGAGACCTCCGATAAATTTTACACCTATAATTTGTATGAAATTAAATTGTATGAGATTTGAATCTGAGGCATTGATGTAGAAACAATTAAATCTTAATTTGAATTGCTCTAACTCACTTGTCTAGAGAATACATTTTTAATGTTGCTAGAAGTACACAATATTCCAGTAATGAGATATTCACTTTTTTGCTTATAATTCTTTTTTATAATATGCACAAACATTTCATATTGAGTAATTTGTTGCTAACAGAATATTAGTTAACAAATATTTTTTAAATACTCCTAAGATGTACAAGTAACTTACAAATAGCCGTAAATAATTCAAATGTACTTACAAGTATAAGTAATTAAGAGTAGGGGTGGGCAAAAATCGAATAATGTCATAATATTCAATATTTTTGATTTGCTTTAATTAAGAGAATTACAGGTATTTGATTTTTGGGATATCTAAAAAATTCAGATATATGCGAATATTTACGGATATTTATAAATATCTCATATACTGTTTAATATAATTAAATCTACAAAATCATACAATTTTTTTAATATCATTTACATCAATAAAAAAGTTTGTTCCATAACTTTATAATTAACTAAACAATTTTATAAAACACAATATTTTAGAAAATTGTAGTTTTTATAAAGATTTTAAATTTCTTTCTTAATTCAATACTTTTGTAAGTATTTAATAAATAAAATTAATAAAACATGTGATGCTAAAACAGTAATTATATAAAGTTATACATTTAACTTCTAGATTTAATTGTAAATATACATATGTTTGTATAAAAGTTGGTGTGGATCAGCTATCTGCCTCTAAGTTTTTCAATACTTATGATTTGCTTCGTTTTATTGGATATTGATTTCTTATCTTTGCTTTGTTACGGGTATTCCAATATTTATGTAATTTGCAAATAACTCATTCTTCAGCAAATGCTCAAATAACAGATACCCGTTTTAACAAGTATAAGGTTAAATTTCTATTATTCAGGAAAGTTAAGTATAGCTAAAAAGTAAGTTCCCGGATTATGTCCATCTATATTTCATAGTATTATTTATTTTGTTATCCTTTGTTGATTAATAGTTTAATATTGTAAGCCTTTAACTAATCTTGTCTTTTGGGTTCGTACATATCTCTGAACCCATGTTTCGTCGGAAGCCCAGCTACTTAAGTTGTTCGCGCATTGTATTGCATTGGTGACTGGTGACGATTATTGTCATTGAGATTAAAAAGAAAATAAATTAAGAGGAAAAACTACTAGTAAGACAAATCAATGGTAGTCGTTGGAGATTCATAAATCGCTGGATCCCGAGTGCACTGTGGAAGATTGGGCGGTGGAGACTGCAAGCTTGTTTCTGGAGTTGGCCCATTCTGAACTATGAAAGCCATCATGATTCCGTACTGCATATGTGCATCCATGTGACAATGAAACATCCATGCACCTGCACAAATATAATTTCAATATTACAAACCATATATATATATTAGTTGGTGTTAATGAGTTGAAAATAAGTCTTTTCATGCGAAATGTTTCTAACCAGGATTATTGGCGATAAATCTTAAGACAACCCATCCACCTGGAGGTACTCCAACGGTATTACGCATTTGTGGATTAACAAGATTAAGTTTTCTTGCATCACGAACTGGATCATAGTTACCGAATCCATAACCCAACACAAAGAAGTTAAAGCCGTGAAGATGCATGGGATGGCTCTCGGCGGTGATGATCCCTGTATTCTGCAAAACCACCTCTACGGTAGAATTAAATCTAAGCATCTTGGCGCTAGTCCCTTTTTCCGGAAACATCATCTTGTAGTCAGAATCTGATCGCATTATGAAATTTGCGTAGTCATACTTAATCGGCGGCTGACTGGGAAAATCTGCCGTATAAATTCCATTCATGTTGTAGAAGTAAGCCTCTTGAACAGTGATTGCTTCAGGATACACAAAGCTACGGTTGTTGAGAGAGCCAGCGTACCTTTGACCCAAGTATCCAGGACACTTAGTCCCCGGAGGGCATGGCTCTAAGCCAAGCCCCACCGCTATGAACATCCTCTCATCCACGTGGCGTGGAACTGGTGTCCAGTGGGGTCCACCAGCCAGGCCTGTGATATTGGAGGAGAATCTATGAGCGGTGGATACGTCATTCAGCTCAGGCATCGATGGCATCACTGGGGATGATGATGATGTGGTGTTGACACCCTCGTAGATGATTAGGCCTCTAGTGGCTTGAACGGGGGATGGTTCTGCATGTGCACTTACGTATGGTCTGATAGCCATATAGTACAATCCCATTGGTTGATCAGCTGTAAGAAGTGCGTCGACGGTTTGTCCCGGTGTTAACATCAACACATCGGTAACGTAAGGCGTCGTGTAGACAGCATCTAAAGCGACAATTGTGACGTTGTGATTGGATATTTTGAAAAAGAGCATAGTGTTGAGCGCTGCGTTTATAATCCTAAGCAAGTATGTTTTTCCTTGTACTACCTTGAGTCTAAACATCCCTACGCAAGCCCAAAAATCAAAACAGTATATTATTATTATTATTTTTGTCACCGTGAATTAAAGGAGGTGTATATATCCAAAGAATATTATAATTGTTAATTTTTATTTAAATAAAAAGACTAGTACTTACTGTTCTCGGCGCAAGGATATGAATCTCCGGCACGGCCATTGATGAGGTAACCATCGGAAGTCGGAACTGGCCATCTGAGACGTCCAATATCCGCGTTCCACCATTGTTCTTGCACAATCAATTTTTTTGTTCGAACAAATTAATGGACAATTTTAAATAATTTTGTAATGTTATGATGAATGTTTAATCCTTCTGATGTAAACAGTTGTACTTAACCACAAAGATTTTTTTTTTGAAAGATATAGATTATAATCTTCATTTTTTGTGGATTATGAATGCAAAAATCATTCTAAAATGAAATGTTAAGATTTTAATAAAGTGTATTAACAAAATGCTAGCCTATTTAATTTGGCCTCATAGAAGCAAATAAAAAAAATCACTTTGGCTTCTTCATTTTAGTTTCGTTTAAAAAAAAAAAAAGAATGCTTACCAAAAATGACAGGAACTTCCTTGTAAGGTTTAGGAAAGGGGTAAGGACGGCCAGATCGGGGACGGATTATTAGCGCGCCATGAAGAGTGGCACGTAGAGTATTGACGTGCGCATGCCATAACAATGTTCCTTCTTGTCCCGTGATATCAAATCGATACGTGTAGTTATTACTTGGTTGGATCGGACATTGAGTTATCATATTCGTACCGTCCATCCATGAGCTCTTTAGCTGAAAAACTCCATGCCTATATATCATATTTATGTGCCATAAAGAAATAATTTTTATTCAGTACAAATCAGAAAAGCAAATACTTGATGAGATTTATAATATCGAGGTTAATAGGTTAGTTAATTACCAGTGGATGGTTATATTGTAAGTTGAGTTATTAATGACATGAACCACAAGAGTGTCGCCTTCTCTAACGTTTATCGTTGGACCGGGGAGACTTCCGTTAACACTCGGTATCATTTGCTCTTGGCACAATGGTTTCACCACCACTTCTTCCACCTGTTATAAGACGCCGTTAATACTGTCCCCTCGTCATATAACTAAGAGTGGCTCATAAATTTTTTTGTCTTTCCACTATTGAATCTTTCTTCTTCTTTTGAATAAAGCCATGCAAAATCACACACGAAATATTTTATACAATACATAATTTTGAGCAGATGCATACTACTATGTAATAATGCAGTAAGTAACTGGTATTTTCAGTTACAAAAAAAAGTAACTCTTATTTATTTTACTTTTTTGAGAAAAAAACAAAAGAAAAGGAGAGATTGGCATAGTAGTAAATATACGTGGAAAACATGTTCGACTATAGCTGCTGAAGAAATGGAAGAGAAGAGAAGAGCGACGAAGAAGGCTTTGATTGCGAGAGGCATTGTTGATGAAACGATATGAAAACGTCTTCGTTACCCAAAAAGAATTACTCGAATAACAAGATGGGACTTGTGTGATTTGTGAGACATTCGTATACTTATAGAAAGAGATGTGAAAACGTTAGTTTAAAATAAAATAAAGAAGATGTGGTGAAGTTGTGATAATATAATAGTATTGAACTATAAAAATAGTCAGTAGTGGCAACCTCGAACACGATTGCACACTCTTTCATACATTAGCTGGCTAAAAGTTTTTCCACTTTTATATAGTATGTGTTGTGTATAGGGTAAGCTCGCGATCACGATATCGTTTCTCTTTGGTGGGGCCCAACTTTCTTTTCTATTTATGTCACGTTGTTTTTTTGGATGTATTATATGTCACATTGTTTGAAACTTAAACCAGGGTATAGTTTTTTCAGTCGAGAATGTACGATGTATTCGAAAAGATTTAAATGAAATAAATCGCCCTTTAAGACTTAGATTGATTAAATCCTTTATTGAAACAAACTGAAACAGAAACAGAATAAAACCAAATGACAATCTCAAATATTACATAGGCAACCATTAACTAATAGTGACTGCTTTTAACTTCTAGGTCTTTCTTTCTCAAATACAAGAATAAAACTATATAATTACGAATGGTTCCGTTCCTCCAATTCCGCGTTGATTTTCAGTTAGCCCATATTTTAATTCCTCTTCTTACAAGGAAACGTTGATTAAGCTGACTTGAGCGTTCTATATATATTTATTTAAGAATAACCTTTATTAACTTCAAAACTAACCTCCTTGTGTCAAGGGCATATATACACCCCACACATGAACATGTTCACCCTATACATGCGACTTTGCTATTTGAAACACGTTGTCTTTTTTTTTTTTCTTTGGGATCTTGAATTCTTGTAATTTACTAAATCAGAAGGCCAGATTTCGACGACCCAACTGTACAAACAGCAAATATATAAAACGGTCACTGTTGTATCATTATGCCTACTGTCGGAATAAAAAAAAAAAAAAGGTACTAAATCGTGGCAGGTTAGATATATAGATATTTTTATACAGAAATAGTCAAAAGTTTTAAACATATGTTTTTATAATTTTATATCTGTTTTTTAAGTACCTCTCTGTCACTTGGGAGTTATGGATATCAGAAATTCAGAATCATGCTTTAGTTCGTCATGATTTGAGTATATGCGATTAAAAAAATTTATGGGTTTCACAATAATGCTTTGGGGAATATAAAGAAAGAACCTAGAGAGAACAAAGGTTTAAGGAAATGTAGTGACAACCAGAAGAGTTTCGGTTGAACATTATTGGGCCAAACGACAAAGTTTAGTAATATCAACTCGAGCTCATTTGGGTCCGAAGAATGTTTTCACACATCATAACTAAGCCCATTTAACCTGTTCTTGTCAAAGCTACAACTCGGAGTGGTTCTTCTATATTTTCTGGAACGAGCGTCCCATTAACCGCTACAGAAATATAATATAGAAACTTAAGAGATTCACATATATACTGCCAATACTAAAATAAAAAGTTGATTGATTTATTCCTAACCTACTGTTGACATAATATGATATACAGTTAGGAAAGCATGACTCATGACCAAATAACAATCAGCAGTCATGTTTCTTCTGTGATATTACATTATCTGTCTGAAAAAATCTCCATTACTAAACACAAATAATGTATTTTATTAATTTTCTTATGATATTATTATAGAAGTAATTATGGATAATTTGAATTTGTATATTAAAAAAAAAAGGGATTTACTCTTGCGGGGCGGGGGCGGGAAGTCAAGCAGCCGATAACTTGTGGAGGAAACAAAGGTTTGGCCGGCGGCAATGGGATGCATTTGCTTCAAGTCTTGGCGGCGACAAGCTACACCGTCGATCACATATACGGTCATCGATAATCTAGGCGATGACGAGGAAGACGACGGACATTATCCGCTGATATTCCGACAGTTCAGCTTGGAACAGCTGAGAATCGCCACCGACGGTTTCTCGGTCGGAAACATCGTGTCGGAGCACAACAATTGGGTTGAAAACATCGTTTACAAAGGAAAACTCGGCGATGGTCGCCGGATCGCGGTCAAATGGTTTCAGAGACTTTCTTGGCCTGATCCTTTCGAATTCATCGTTCGTATTTTCTTCATTCTTGGTTCTTGTTTTTGTTGTTTGTTTTGCTTGTAAGCTGTGACATATGTGATGGAGTTTTCAGAGTGAAGCAGAAGCTGTCGGGAGGTTGAGGAGTGAGCATATGGCTAATCTGATCGGTTGTTGTTCTGATAACAACGAGAGACTTCTTGTTGCTGAGTATATGCCTAATGGAACTTTATCTAACCATCTATTTCACTGTATATTTATTCTCTCTCTTTCTTTTGCGCAAGAAACAGAAATGATAAGCTTAAAATAAGATAGTAAATTAATGTTTCAGGGGAGAAAAGACCGATGAAATGGGAAACGAGGTTAAAAGTTGCGCTTCATACAGCAAAAGCTTTGGATTATTGTAATGACAAAGGCATAAACTTATACCATGATCTTAATCCCTCCAGGATATTGTTTGATGAGGTCTCCTTTTTTTAATGGATTTTCTTGATTTGAGAAAATAAAGAATTTTTTTATTTATTTAAATCAAGAATTGCTTGATGACACAGGTAAGCAATCCTAAACTTTCTTGCTTTGGTCTCATGAGGAGTAGACACAAAGGGAAGGATCATAGTACCAATTTAGCATTGGCTCCTCCTGAATATTTGCACCTAGGTCCATAACCTTTTCATGTGTGTGTCAATAAGAAAAATAGCTCTAAAGAAATTCTCATAGAAACTTGTTTTTCAGGTACTTTGGTACCTGAGAGCGTCACATATAGCTTTGGGACCTTGTTATTGGATCTTATGAGCGGCAGACATATTCCTCCAAACCATGTAATAACACAAAATAGCATTTTAGTTTTGCATTTGGGACTGCTTTTAATTATAAATGTGTTGATGTTTGTGCAGGCGCTTGATTTGTTCCAAGGCAAAAACTATTTGGTGCTAATGGATTCAGCTCTGGATGGTCAGTTCGCTGATGAAGACAGGACGGAACTAATGAACATAGCTTCTCGATGTTTGAAAACAGAACCGGAAGAGAGGCCAAGTATGAGGTTCCTTATAGGGACTCTTTCTAGACTTCTGAAACGAGCTGAGTTAAGGCCAACCAATAACAAATTACTCATGCATGTAAGTCTCACTATCTCCCTATTATTGCCTTTTTATGCAGACTTTATTAGTATGACTAAATAAAATCATATTAAATGACAGTCTACGTCAAACAATCTGCCTGAAAAGACTAAAACTGCAACAGAGACACTTAAGTTGACTCCTTTTGGAGATGCGTGTCTGAGAGTAGATCTATGTACCGTACACGAACTACTCGAGAGAGTCGGATATGGAGAAGAAGATGGGCTCGCACACGAGGTATGTTTATGATTTTTTTCTTGTATCAAATGAAATGATCAGTACTAAAAATTTGAGAGTGTATATATTATGTACATATGCATACCAGTTTTCATTCCAAATGCAAGAGAATATGGACTACAAGAAGCATGGAGATGAAGCATTTCGTGCTAAAGATTTTGATACCGCCATTAAATTATACACAAAGGTAAAGACAAAAATCTTATAAAAGATGGAATCATCAAGAAACATGAAAAGACGATTCATTCTTCTGTAGTTCATGAGTGGAGCTCCTACGGTTTCACCAACAGTATTGGGAAGAAGGTGTCTGTGTCACCTAATGAGTGAAAGGTTTCGCGAGGCTCTAAGTGAGGCGATGCAAGCGCAAATAGCTTCACCGGAGTGGCCAATTGCTCTTTATTTACAAGCGGTTTGTCTTTTTAAGCTAGAGATGGAAGCTGAAGCTAAAGAAGCTCTTAGATATGGTTCTGCTCTTGAGCCTTATTAGTTATTAAAGTTTCTAAGCAAACAAAAAAATTATATCAGAAATTGTGAATACACACAAGAACATGTAAAATTTCTTGTGTTGTTTTTCAATTTATTTTTGTATTAATCCTTTGTTTGACATGATTGCACTCTTCCAAAAATCTAAAACAGGAATCAAATTCCCACACAAAGCAAAAGAAATGAGATTTTTAGAAAGAGAAGAAAAGAAACAGTGGATGTTTAAATCTTGTTCCTCATTGCTGTGAAGACAAGTTACTTCGACGGTAACGGCTCTCGCCGGAACCATTTTCTAAATCAAGAGTGTGTTATATAGTATCATTACAAGACTTCTGTCACAAGTAAACGTGAACTCTTGATCAAGTTATGTAAATAGCCAATAAAAACATTTAAGGTCGGAAAATCTATAGTATGGGTACATATTTTTGTGTGTGGACCGAAGTGATGAAAGCATTATAACAGGCTTACAAGCGGATAATAATTTGAGTGTTCCCACTAATAGTCTAATCCACACGCTAAGTATCATTCGTGTTGTTTGTGATTTGAGGGCATGTGTTCCGTTTTATTAAGCTTCTGAAACCTTAATCTGACCTTTAATTTGGATCTGTCAACAAGATGACAGTGAAGAATGAAGAATATACTTTGCATGGGAGGCACTTGCGGCTGAGCTTCGGGACCACCGCCTTTTGGCTCTTTGTCCTCCTCATGCTTCTATTTCACGTCACCATACACTTCTTTTCAAGACCATGGCAATTAGAAAGAATTAAGGCCCATAAATGATAAAAAAAAGTGAGTTTTACTAGGCCCACATTTATAATAGAGTTCAAATCTCATCGAACATTATCAATAAGTCCATTTTAGATGGCAAATAAGAAAACTAATAAACATAGCGTACAAGACAAGGAAGTTAGTACAAAAGAGTTACTACTGAAGCAGATAAGATGTTGGCATTAAATAGTTTTAACCACCGTCTTGAGGTTGTGGAGGAGGAGGAGGAGAAGAAGAACGAGGCTTGGGAATATAAGGATTCGTCGGGTTTCCATGCTCGATAGGACCTGGTTCCATCGAATGTTTTGCTGTCGGAGATGGATCCACTGGAAAGTTGTAATCCTCCAAACCTATTTTCATTTCTGCCATTTTCCCGCGTGATTGATTATCATTGTCAAAATATTAATTAGAATTTTTAAATAATAAAGAAAAAAAAATGGTGCACAAAGGCAATAGAAGACAATAGAACACACAAAATAAAATAAAAAAGTTACCAGAAGAAACGAGTGAGACACAGAGGATTATGACAGCCAAGAGGAAGACAAATCCTGGTTTCTTCATCTTCTTGATAGACAACAAAGATAATTTCTTCTTTAAAATAAAAAGAGAGAGGTGTGCATGAAATTGGTAGAGAAGGAGGATGGCATGTGGATCACTGAGTCTTGAATGTGGAGTTGTGGGTTAAATCGAGAGCAGAGTTATTGCTCTCTCCTCTCTCTATTACAGCAGAGAGAGGAAGCATCTCAAACAGCTCAAAACTCATTCATTGGCTATACTTTAATGCTCCTCCACTACTTTTCGTTTACGACACGTATCCCCATTTCTCTATCTCTATTAACAGCAACTTCTCATCGATTGTGTTTTATCACCATTGATAGAAACGAGGAAGACGAGAAGGAAGTTAAAATCAGTGGAAATCTATAGTAAGAAAACAGAGAGTGAAATGGTGGATCATGTTGGAGAAGAAGCGGTATTCACCATTTTAACAAAATATAATAATTGTGGTTGTTGGTATATAGAAAATTAATAGTACTAATTGTTACAGTATATTGGAGTATAACAGCATAAAAATGTAGTTAGCGAAAAAGTACTATAGACAAAAGAATTTAAGACACAACAAAAAAATACTACTATATCTATTTTTGGCGTAATTTCCCCTTAAGAAAACGAATTTAATGCCATGACGTGACTTGAATTAGCAACATTGATGCTTCTATCTAACATTTCCGACCACTCAAATTCCTTTGTCTGTTTTTGTTTTTGTTTTTCTTTATCTTTCACGTTTTAATAATTTTGGTTATTGATGTTGGCATCTTCAAAAAAAATAAAAAACGTTAGTTGAAATAACTTTTAATTAATTTCATGCTCATCTATTATATTAAAAGATAAGTCATGACTTCTCATTCATGTGTGATTTTTTATAAAATGGACTATCTACTAGAGTTAGTCACATTATATATTTAATCATTAATAACATTCATTAGATTCACTAATTACATTTATTGGACTTACTATAAATTTTTATTGGGCTAATAAAAATTAGATAATCCATTGAATTTATAGATAGTATAATAAAATACATGTTTAAATTAAACTTATATAATTTAATATTATAATAGTATAAGTTAATTAGTTATATATTTTCGATGTTAACTTTAAAAATTATATAGTTTATTTTTAAAAATGACAAAAATATTATTTTCTAACAATAACTAATCTATATTATATAATAATTAATCATCATTTTCGATATACATACCTTATATAATATATACCAATTTAGAAGTAAAAACAAAATGTTTATATAAAAATAAATGAAAACAAATACCCGCGCAACCGCACGGGTTGAGATCTAGTATGTCCTTAAAAACGAAAAATATAGGTCACTGCATGTATTCTGTTGAACTTGTTTTCATTATATTATTCAAAAATTATGAAAAGTAGGTTGAGTAAATCGATTGTGTTTTCTAGTTCAAGATTTCGACATTGGGTGTTATAACAATGTCTAGCATTTGTATTTCACACTATAGATACACACATCATTCATTTTCCATGTATAATATACCTCTCTTTTTATAAAGATTTTATTTAAAAAGTGAGACATAAAAATGTTAACAGCCTTTATGGCCCCATAGGCTGACTAGCATTTTACACGTGAAAAGTAGGAACGATTTAGAACCCACTTGAAGCCCACGTATTCTTGCAAATGAAGATGAAAATAGATGGCCCAAAATGGAAACTGCCGTGTACCCAAACTCGGAGCCAACGAGGGATGGGAGGTGAATCAATCAAATCATAGAGAGAGTTGTAAGAACGATAATCAGATAGAAGATTGTTGCATGTGATATAACCGCGGCTATGAAAGAGAACCAGAGTTGAAGCATTGCCGTAGGTTGCTACAGTCATAACAATAATACATCATTCTCAGTCATACACTGCTAATGGCACCATCAATAATATGTCAAGACACGCACATTATTCATTGTCATCCCCACACCTACATTCACACCTCTCCGTTTGAAAATATCCATATAAAAATCTCAAACTTATCATCGTTCTCATAACTAAAGGTTTGAGGTCGGTCATAATACGATTGTTTATGGAATTGATTATTTGTTGAGACATGTAAACAAGAGTTACGAGAGTCAGACAGAACATTAATGGTCCATGGTTTTTAAGTATTAAATTGGATGCACAAAAGTGTCAGTGAGTACTTTTGTCAGTCTTTGAAGTAAATGCTGGCCTATTTATTTATATTAATTAATCTCGAGTATTGAGTATCTCGTTTTTGTTCCATGTCTTCTTTTGTCAGTCTTTGAAGTAAATGCTGGCCAAAAGGAATTTAACTACTTTGGACTATTCCTTTTTCTTTATGTATTTGTTTTGGACTATTCATTTCTGCCAATTCACAGATGAATTTGATTATGTATCTCATTTCACACACGTATTGAAAATAAGAAAAACTGAGGATTGTAGAGAGTAAATCAGTAACTCATTAGAGAGACAGTGAGCTACCTAAGCAGAAAGTCCTATACAGTCGAAGCCATTCCATTTTTCTTTTCGACTTGAGAAGAAAATATCTCATTAATTAGTTGAAGATTCAAGTTTTTTTCAGCGCAATTTAAATCAGTTGTAGAATGCTCGAGAGTTATAGTATTCTCATAGTGATCGCTCAGCTCAATCCCATCATGTCTGTCAACAACAATTCAAGCGCACATGCAATGATCTATCGTCTACGTATCTAACCTACACCCTGAACTACAACGGAGGAAAACAGTCACAGCTATGTAGAGTCCTCCAATAGACAAGTCACCAGTAGGGGTGGGCACGGATCGGATATCCGGGTTTTTTAAGGTATTTGTGATTTGCTTCGAATGTTACGGATATCTAATTTTGGTATTTGCTTTGCTTCGAAAAAATACGGATATCCGGAAAAACGGATATCCGGAAAATAAATAAATATTTGCGGATATTTACGAATATTTACGGATATCTCATCCATTTTAATTAGTACAAATAATCTTAAGATTTTGATACAAATTTTCTTTGCAAAAATATTTTTTCCATGATATATAAAATAAAACTTAAAAGAACTAGTGAATTTACAGATTTTGTAATTTTTAAAAGTTTAAGTTACAATTATAATAACACAAAATTTAAGAAAAAAATATAATTGTCAAAAATATTTTATCTCTTTTTATGTAATACTTTTATATAAGTAATAATTTGAATAGAATTGTTCAAAATCATGTGCTAAATTAATAATTATATAATTTTATACAATTAAAATTTTAAATATAATCAAAATATACATATATTTAT